ATATTTTTAACTCTTGTTCTTTTCTAATTACTGTTAATTGAAAGGATTTGTTGTGGAGTGAGGGGAACTAAAATAGCCTAGCTATGTTTACAGTGTTTATTATAATGTTTGTAAACATTTGCGTAGGTATTAGGCCTATTTCTGAATTAAATAAAAAATGTGACTTATACGCGACTTATGTTTTTTCCCCCTAAAAAAACATTTTTTTAATACGCGTAACGTATTTTAACCATGCAGCAAACCTTTTTAAATATTTTGATAAATTACTGAAAAAAAATTAATAAATGACTTTTTAAACCATTTAACTGATTGTATTAATCGGTCAATTCTTCACGGTCGGTTAACCGGTTAACCAGTTAAAATTAACATCCCTAATATATATATGAATAAAATAAAAAAATAAATAACCACATAGTATTGTTTTTTTAATATAAAAACTAATACAAACTACCAAAGAAATTGAAGAAAAATACTAAAACAGAAATTCAGTTGCGAATTGAAAATAATAAAATTAAAAAAAACAACACTATAACAACGCTGATTTGAACCTTTTCCGTGGCTTACCTGTAACAGCGTAGTGCAAGCATCATACAGCTGGTCATACTCGGCCGTCTTCTGAAACAGTCTCAAACCCCTAAAAAACGATTTTTTTTATACACGTAGTGTATTTTAACCATGCAGCAAACCTTTTTAAATATTTTGATAAATTAATTAAAAAATTTTATAATTAAATGACTTTTTAAACCGTTTAACTGATTGTATTAATCGGTCAAAATTCTAACGGTCGGTTAACCGGTTAAAATGAACATCAGAATACCAGAGTAACTAATATTAGTAAAAAAAAAAAAAAGGTCCTCAATTATTGAAAATTATTAAACTGTAATAAAAAAAAAGCAAAGGAATACAATGCCAACAATAAAAAAAAAGCTAAAGAATACAATAGAATAAATAAATATATACAAATGAAACAAACTGTGCTTTAAGTTTTTTTAATGCAACTCTAAAGTATTCAGTTAACAGCCTAATAGAGAAATTAAATAACCTAATGTAAAATAAAACAGCACAGTCTTCACTGTAAGAATTAAACTTCCTTTGTTTCTTATTAAACTTCCTTTATTTCTTATTAAAGCTACAAAAGTCCTTCAATCAAGAGCAGTGAGTGATTTTGAATGTGTCTTTTGTTGTTTGATTAATATTAAGCACAGTCAGCAGCAGGAATATTAGCCCGCTGTCACTTTTTAGAGCAGCACGGATCCAATTTACTGTTACACAAGTATTTTCATTCTCAACTCTTTACATTCATTTATTACATAACCGACGAGGGTTTACATGAATAATCACTAAGCACCGCATTTTGACATATTTTTGTGTGTATTTGACCGTTTAGGAGCTAAAAGATGACTTTACATGTCCGTGTTGTGTTCCGTCTCTGAGCGCTGTGCGATATGGACAAAAAAAACCTATCGCGATAACTTTGATCAATTTTGCGATTTTGATTACGATTTTGACACACAGAGACATGCTTTACAGTCATAAATGCATTCAGTGTGAATTTGAAACATATTTCCAAAAGAAAACCAATTAGAGCTTTATCAAAAAGCTGTAACATGTCTCTAGAACAGACATAAGGCAAAAAAAAATCCCATGTCCAGGGATTTTTTTTAGGACAATCTGACGGGTAGGATAAAATGTCAGGACACCGGACCGCAATCGCGTGCAGTGTGAACGATCTGATCTGTTAACATGGGCACGGAAAAAATACGCACCACAGATGGATGGTGTGTTATACTTTCCACGTGAGTAATCCTGACGCGTACACAGACAGCGCGGATGCGGACTACTTGTATTTATACTACCGAAAGCATACGCTGATGGTCCGCTCTGCGGACGTGTTCCATACATGCGTAGTAGATCGGCTTGAACAATAAACAAACATGTGAACAAACAATTGCCCAGAGTTATTGCACATCTGGCTGTCTTTATATTGTTTTATCGACGGATTTAACAGCTTCGAGAAGCAGCGGGCTTCTTCACACAGCCTGCGCATGCGCAGTAGCCTACTGACGGTCACAAAAAATGGGAGGCACGCGGATGTCCGTGCAGAGCCTCCGCGCACACTCTCCGATGCCGATTTTTACGTCACGCATACCTTGGCGGAACCTTTCCAAAAACTAACAACTAACAAAAACAAACCAGGTGTCAAATACATCCAGATCTCTGATGAGAAATCAAGTAAGATTAAACACTCTAGAGTAGTAAAATCGATTATGAAAATCATTGACAACGATTCTCAATTTCGATTAGTCGGGTCTGCCCACAGTGCACGTCCAACTTCAGCCAGTGCATTAGCGTAATGGCTTGCTTGCCCTGGCACTTTGGCAGATGATACGTGCGCGCCCTCAGCGCAAAAACTTTCAGTTTACGGTCATATCCTTATGTATAAATGTCATAAATTCCATTTTTGCATAAAGGTCCATCCTGACAGTCTGTGTTAAGTTTTAATCTTTACTGAATGAGCGGCGGGCACGTGCACGTGCATCAGGCAGACTGAAAGGAGAGACAATTAATAATAAGCGCAAAAACATTCATTGTGCTGAAATATCTGTTGTTGAAAGTTAAATCAAGGTTTAAAGGTCAACATGCATTGTAGGGCTGTGCAAAAAATCGAATGCGATTTTCATGCGCATCTCGTCAGTAAAGCCGCTCCTGTGATTAGTAGTAAATCTCCAGCATGTGCGTTCAGATGGAGCGGCATTTACAGTAGTTCACTGACAAGCTACATAAAATCGTGTTCAAAATCGGCAATGAATCGCCTGCGATTTTGTGTTTTTAATGCAGAGATTTAAACTATGTACATACAGTATATAACAATATACAATGCTAAAATTTATTAAAGCAAATTTATGTAAGGTTTTTAACAAATTATGGTTTGTGCCACTGCTGCTATTTAAACTATTTTTTGACAGATTCCTAAAATTCCTAAAAAGTGTTCTCTCTTTATTATGGCAGGTGGTCTAATAAATTGTTAAGCACTGTATGTTTTTATAGCATTCAGTTGGCACGCTTGTTTGAAGGACATTGGGCAGAATGTGGAATAGTGTTTTTTGTCAATAAAATACATTTTTTTAATCCGATTAATTGAAAAAATAATCGACCAACTAATCGATTATCAAAATCATTGTTAGTTGCAGCGCTACTCTAGAGATATTTAATGTTTAACCACTATAGAGACATCAGAGCACATGGTCGCTGACGCCCTGAAGCTCACGTCTCCGAAAACGAAGCAATTTTTCAAATAGATGTTATCTTTATTAACAAACCACATATTTGAAGTCTAAACAACTACATTCTCACATAAAAAAACCTCTTAAAACTACATTCCACAAGCGAAGTGATACAAATGGTGAAACAGTTGGAGCTCTGTTATCACTAGAATATCGCACTATTCTCAGCCAATCAGATTCGAGAACCAGAAACAACTGCATATGTGTGTGTGTGTATATATATATATATATATATGTGTGTGTGTGTGTGTGTGTGCGTGTATGTATATTTTTTTTTCTCGGACCTCCACTGGGAAGGAAATGTAAACAGACCTCTTGGAACTTTAATTGAATACCCCTGCTCTAGTCCATGTGATACATGTAGGATACTTCACCTATATTGAAATGAAAATGCTCATCAGACGTGCAAAAATATCAAAGACTGAAATGGTTACGACAACACATTTATCAGGCATACTAGGAAGTGAGAGCATAACAGAGGCCACAGAAAAATCATATGACAACATCGGATTCTATCCACAGTTTCAATGTTGCGACAGACACCGCCAAAAAAAGCGAAAAATGCTTCCTAAGTAGAAATCAACACGTCAGTCATTCATAACCAGAGTGACTGGGAGGCTGTGCTTGCTTAAGAAACACCTTACAATTCAACACAAGTGGTACAACCACGCGCATAAAAACAGATCTAGATTTCCAATCTGAGCAAGAACTGAATGGGGGGTTAAATGAATTATTATTAACAGCGAACTACGATTACACTTTATTTGACTAGATCGATCCCGTCATGCATTACAGTAGAAACCTGGTATTTGACACCTGCTAGTTATGTAGACACGTGAAACATGTCATCCTATCACTGTTGTTTTTTAATTATGATAACAATCAAAAGCAATTAGCGTTATTAAAAATGCTGGCTTGACATACTCTGTTTTCTAATTTCTCACGATGCCAAAGACTGGATCAAACCTGCTCTCACTTGACAAAAAACAAACCACTCTAGACATGCATAGAGCCTCTTACCAACAATTATACAAGCACCACTTCTGGCGAACTCTCAAAAAACAAACAAACTCTTACATCTGAAATACGCGACAGAATCAACGTCCGTTTCTTCATGTTGAACGATCTCAAACACGGCCTAAGAATCATTCACACTAATAGACTACGCACAGTGCCTGCATACGAGTCTGTGTGCCCGAATTTGAGTCACTGTGATCTTAATAGTCTGTTCAATTTCTCAACCATTTTTATTTACACTGCTACGAGACAAACCAGATCGCATAATCAATGTAGACCGTCAGCGTTCATTTTAAGGGAGCGTTCTGCTTGTGTTGCGAGCGACGCCTTGTCGTCTGCTTTGTGCTAAGGGCGCAGGCGAGGTAACTAACGTTAGATCACTGTTTATTTGGCTGCTACTTATTTTACTCCGCTCACTCCTGAGGAGCTATACAATTTTTGAAGACGGTAAAAACATATTTACGCGAAAAGGGCCGCGCTGAAAATGTCTGTATATTCGGTTAAGTAGGCGCAAACTGGTTGTGCAGTTCCACATCAGCTAAGCAAACATCCGTTAGTTAGCCTGTTAGCCTCCCTGACTGAAATGATCATTCATAACCGAACTCTGGTTTTCTGTTAGCCACATGGTACATTAAAAGACCTCTGTAAGACATACGTCCAAATGACAACGCAAAATGTGTCGCTTTCGCCATTATTTACCTTTTGGTGCAGTTTCGCTACAATTTTTTCCGGTTCTCCTCCTCACCGCTAAAAACAAAATGGCGTCTTTCTTTATCCGAAGACAGTGGCGTCATGGGCCCCGCCCTCGCGTAAGTGTTGTCCAATCACGTTGTCCAAAGTGCATGCGAAACCCCTCCCCATTCTTGTCGTCGTCCAATGACTGCATCGCGGGCGTGAGGGCCGAGCTGGTAGGTAGTCTAGGTACGCGTGTACAGGCCGCCTCTTCCCATGCAAAATGAAAGATGAGTCGACCTGAATATGTTTAGCAAATGTATGTATGCCCCTGATGAGAGAACCTCGTGTTTTCCAACCGCTTTAACCAGAGAGATGACCAATTATAAAGTAAATGGGTAAATTAATTTAAGGTTGTGTTGGAAGAGGATTTTATAATAATTTGACAGATTAGCTGCTTTGAGTGTAGCCTGTGACGTTAACATGTAGGTATGTACTGTATGAGGTTACCCTCTAGTGGCAAAGATGCTACAACGTGCCAGGTGCCCGTTCTATATCGCCTGTAATAATAATAATAATAATAGGCTTTTTTTTTTCATTTCTTAAATCCTTTATGCAAATACTTAGCAGGGTTATGATTATTATAAAAAAAAAACTAAACCATTTATAATAAACGTTAAGTGAAATAAGATAAAATACAGAAAGCCTTATTTTCTAAAAACAAAATGGCGTCTTTCTTTATCCGAGGACAGTGGCGTCATGGGCCCCGCCCACGCGTAAGTGTTGTCCAATCACGTTGTCCAAAGTGCATGCGAAACCCCTCCCCATTCTTGTCGTCGTCCAATGACTGCATCGCGGGCGTGAGGGCCGAGCTGGTAGGTAGTCTAGGTACGCGTGTACAGGCCGCCTCTTCCCATGCAAAATGAAAGATGAGTCGACCTGAATATGTTTAGCAAATGTATGTATGCCCCTGATGAGAGAACCTCGTGTTTTCCAACCGCTTTAACCAGAGAGATGACCAATTATAAAGTAAATGGGTAAATTAATTGAAGGTTGTGTTGGAAGAGGATTTTATAATTATTTGACAGATTAGCTGCTTTGAGTGTAGCCTGTGACGTTAACATGTAGGTATGTACTGTATGAGGTTACCCTCTAGTGGCAAAGATGCTACAACGTGCCAGGTGCCCGTTCTATATCGCCTGTAATAATAATAATAATAATAGGCTTTTTTTTTTCATTTCTTAAATCCTTTATGCAAATACTTAGCAGGGTTATGATTATTATAAAAAAAAAACTAAACCATTTATAATAAACGTTAAGTGAAATAAGATAAAATACAGAAAGCCTTATTTTATTTTAACTAGTAGCCAGGACAACAATACACAAAATAAAATAATAATAAAAATGACAAAACACACAACAAAATTAGCAAAACTTTAAATAAAAATTAAAATGGAAAATATAAAATCAATTATTATTTTAATTTATAAACCCTATATAAGTATCTTTTATTTTTATTACTTTATTTATTAGTAATTTTTGTCTTAAATCGGAATGACCTACTGGTCATGAATATATGAATAGCATCAAATCATACAATCAATAGTCCATCAGATGGTATATTCTCCTTGATCCACTGAGCGAAACAGCATTAATTCTGCAGAATATAGATAAAGTCCAGTCAGCAGAGGGTGCTACAGATAAGACAAAACCAAGCAATTGCCAATCCACTGAAGCCTCAAAGCTACAACTACTGGCAATTCACTGAAGATCTGAAACTACTGTTTTTGTTGATTTATTTATTTATTTGAAATTATACTCGTCTGGGTAAGCAGTGGACTCTGACGATTTGAAAGTATTGTTAACATAAAAGCTGGGTTCCTGGAGAGTCTGCCATTAAATTTATTAAGCTAATTCTATTTTTAGGCTGAAGCTTCTTTCAAGTTGCACCAACAGCAGTGACAAAGAAATATGACCAAACTGGGCCTTTTCGACTTCAGACCTAAAAAATACCTAAAATAAATAAATGAGCCAATTGTTGGAAAGATAATTCCATTTTAAAATCATAGTAACAGCCCAACAAAATAAGCTTTTTTGGATTTGGGAGTGTGAAAAATACCATTCTCAAGGACTAACTTCCTGAAATATAAGTTAATCTAACAACTTTTTCATCTAACAACAATATAAGTTCATCTAACAACTTTTTCATCTAACAACAATATAAGTTCATCTAACAACAGTGGCACCGTTCTAGAGTCTGGTATGCAAGGTTTTACTGTCAACAAGATACACTTATTTTAATAAATAATGACATGCAAAGCATTCTTAAATTTAGTATCAGTTTAAGTGTTATCTGCTGTATCATTTCAAAGACCTCAAAACAATTTTAAACTAAACAAATGGACCTCTATTCAAGAATCCAACACTAATAATAGAAAGACAATAGTGTCTCCTCTTAAACTTTATATTCACCCATACTATTCACATTTCAGAAGCAGTTGTTTGGATTGGTCACCACAAGCAGGAAGTGCACCTGGCACACCTCCGTCATAAAGGTGGGTGTCTTAAACAAAGGAGGTGACATCATAAGGGAAATGTGGAGCCCGGTTGGTCAGTCACTGATGAAGGCGAGAGGAACTGAGATGAAAGATCAGTCATGATTGGCTCATTATATCTTGTGCTTAGTGATGACAACAGCATCAAAGACGCCAGTGTGTTAATGATGCTGAGGAAATGAGAATGGAGCCACAGTTTGTAAACAAGGTGTTGGAATTAAACAAGAGTAAACAGACACTCATTATCCTTAAACTGAACTTAGAAAAAAAAGAAGAATACTTATAGCAAGTGATGATGACAGTCAAGGTCTGAATTATTCAATGTTTGTGTATTTATTTATTTATTTTGACATCAATAAAAGAGATATCAAGACAGTGTGTATGGAAGAAAAATTATATTATAATTATATATTATAAATCATTTATAAAATGGTGCGTTCTTGTACGTGAAAGTCTGCGATATTAAATCACATGATAGAAAAGGATTTCACAAACACTATTTTAGACAACTGTGACAGGCACAAAATTATGCCTCACTAGTTTGTGGAGTCCTTTGGACACAGAGTAGCAGTAGCAGATTTTCACATAGAAACAATTCAGTGTAAAATTGTGTGCCCAAATGTCTTTTATCTACAAGCACAATTGCACTATTAAGTATTTGACAGATCATCTAGCACATCTAAGAATCCAGGTAGAAAGGGTCATCTGAAATGTTTGTCAGAAACATAAAATCTTCTCTTTTTTTAAAATTTAACTTTCTTTGTAGTACTTACTCTGTGTCCACTTAAGAAAACAGTAGCCTATGTTGATGGTTTATCATGCTTGTCACGTCTTCTGTTATGCATGTTAAAACTGATTTTTAACCCAGTCTTGCATTAGTAATAAAGTATGTGCAATGGCATTTTCATAAATGTGTTTTGATTGTCTCCTTGTTATCAGTACTTTGACAGCCAAATGAAGTACATGTTGAACAAACAGGGTACGGTTTAGTGGTAGAGACTCACATGACGTAATTACTTGCAATTGTGCAAATTGTGTGTGCAAAACAATGGTAGACAAAACAGAACATATAATCAAGTATAAGTAAATAATATAAGTTTTTGTATCGTAAATATCACGAGGTTGCCTCAGGTTGTATGGGCCAGTGTTGCTAATCAATGACAATTTATATAAATTACTTTTCCTGAAATCTTTGCTGAGATTATCTCGGTATCGTATTACCTATTATGGTTTGCTTCTTGTTTCGCTTGCCTCAAATGGGCTTACAATGATTTACAAAGATACATAACAGCTACAAGTGTATGCACTACTTGCTTTATGCAAGCACTATATAGGATGAATCACTATACAGGATTTACCCTATTATACTTTATCGACACGAATTGATAGGTGAAACAACAAACAGCCACCCACAAATAGTCTATAAACAAAGCATCAGAGACCCCCCAAAATTTCACAAATCCCGTTTTCAGGGGAACCCATGGCTTATTAAGGGGAGCCCAGCTCCCCCTAGCTCCCCCGTAGTTCGCACCCTGGCAATATGTCTTCCTCAGATGTAATGTTAGTTCTGTACATAAGCGTTGGGCAAAATAGCATTATAATCTCCTTTGGTAGAGAAAGCTGCTTACATGTATGCTACACGGGGAAATGACTAACAGCGAAGATGTTGAATTAAACGTAAACACAGCTTTTGTGTCTTATTTTTTAATCTGCTTTTCCGCATATACACTCTGGTCTCAGAACTAATCAGAACTTCTACTTACAGCTTGCTCCATTTCTGCAAATCAGTTTTTCTGAATGAATGACTTGCTCTACCTGTTGCTTAGGTCTTCATCAACAGCTGATTGCAGCACCTGCTGGTGAGCGACTAACAGCAGATAGAGATCATGCATAGGCCGACTCTACTCCTGCAGTTCCCGGATGTGCAATGCTGAATTTTCTGCCGAATTTGAACCACTGAATTTGTGGAAGCGAGTTTGTAAAGTGAAATAAAATGGACCAAAAATTGCCTGTCGAATATTATAGGCCCTACATAGTATTTTTAAACAGACTGAATATTTCGGAAGTGAACTCTGGAAGGTGAATATTAATTATTAATTTTTAATGATGAAAATGTGTGTGAAATGTTTTGAATTGAAATATTCAAAGCTTAAATAAACAACTATGTTGAATTTCAGCCCCTAAAAATGCAAGCCCTGAAAATATAAGGCATTAAAATGCAAGCACTCTTAATGCAATGCATTAGCCTATTTTTTTCAGTTGGTGCAATTCAACATGCTTTTTTGTTTCAAACACATTTGTCATTATTTTTCTTAAGCGTGGGACCAATTGAAAATGCACTTTTCTATTTACCTACTATTTGTTGGTGTTGGGGGATTAAATATCTTAATCCATAAAATATTTTAGATAATTAATCCATAAAATAATCCATATTGTCCATGATCAGAAAGAAAAGGAAAGTTGTCTGAATCAGCCCTAAGTAAAGATGAACCATTCAGCAGGTAAAACGCACCTGCTAATATGTAGGGAAATATCGTTTCCCTGGCAATGGGCGGAGTGACTGATGATCC